AACTGAGTAAAGTTGTAGCTTCTAATACTTTAGACTAGCAAACACAAGGCCACTATAATGCAAATTTAATGCTTTAACTACTATTTTGCTCTTTTTTAGTTTAATGATTATTGCCACTGTAGTGTAAATTTAATTTCATCAACCAAGTTACGAATGGTAATTAGTAGGCCTATTTATTTACATGCTCTAATGTAAATCAATATCAAGTTTGGGGGCCCACTTTTGGAGAATCCCTATAAGTGTTTTCAAGAAATACCCAGGTTCTCTAAGAGGTTGGGTGAAAAGTTTTACCTTTGTGCAAACCTTGGGATAGAGATGATTTGTTTGGAACCATTTAATAGTTGGTGCAATCAGCAGTTTAGGACGAGTTACATGACATACACATATACAGACAATTTTAAACTACTATTTTGCTACTATAATGCAAATTTAATTTCTTTAACCAAGTTACAAATGGTAATTAGTAGGCCAATATTTATTTATGTGTCCTAATGTAATTTAATAACAAGTTTGGGATCCACTTTCAGGGAATCCTCATAAAAGTGTTTTCATGAAATACCCAGGTTCCCTAAGGGGTTTTGGTGAAAAGTTTTACCTTTGTGCAAACCTTGGGACCAAGGCGATTCTTTGGCACCATTTAGAAATTGGTGAGTCCAGCAGTTTAGGAGAAGTGTTTTTTGGGGGAACACCTGGGTTCCCCAAGGGGGGTGTGTGAAATTTTTACTGTTAAGCAAGCCTCTGGACCAAGACAGTTCATTTATGGTACCATTTAGAAGTCAGTGCAACCAGCAGTCTAGGAAGAGTTATGTGACACAAACACACACACATTGAATCGTTTTATACAGATTGCAGTTTTTTTTCACAGATCTACCATAGTATTGGAGAAACAGAAAGCCTCAAATGAAAATTTTCATAGAACTTATATATTCGTGCACCAATGGTCCTACAGAAAATTACAAGATAAGACTTTATGGAATGACATATGAACCTATAACAAGTTAAAAGAGGGCTGACTTATCAAGATGGATTTGGTGATGAAAAGAAACACAGTAAAACATGAGGAGAAAAGTAATGTGGATTAAAAAAAAGGGGGAAAAAACAGCTTGGTACAATGACGGTGCAGTACAGCAAAATGACAGATAAACAATATACAAACATACAGCTTGACTGAAGTATGAGTGAAATAACAGATACACGTGCTGAAGAATGAGTCAACTATGTGAGCCCAACTTACTAAAAACAAATGCACACATGATGGGTCAGTCCATGTCAGTTTGTTAACCCTCAAAACTAAAGGCTCATGGATTTTGATGCTGCAGGCAGGGATGTTAGAACCATAGGACTATCATGTCTCCAGCTCAATTGAGTTTTTTTCGTTAGAGGTCATTAAATATTTGACCCAAAATGGCTCTCTAATAAGACTAATGACATAAAAGAACCAATAAGATCTACATATTTTTAATGCTGGAAAGCTATCTTTGTGTTCTTACTTCTAATATTTCCAACTCTGACCTCACTTCGACTGTCAGTCCTAACATGGAAGACCATAACATTAAAGGGCGACAAGGGATCTTTTGGTCCATCTAAGCCATCACATCCACTAAATTAAACACTAAAAAACTCAAAGCTAGCCTTTATCATTCAAATATTTATCAAGCTGTCACTTAAACTCCCTTAAATTACCCACATCTGCCACTTCTGAAGGTAACCTGTTCCAAAGGCCAACCACCCTGTTAGAAAAGTAAAGCTGTCATAGCTGAAATTGACTCCTACCCAGCCCAAACTTTTTATTTGTGTCCCTTGCTCTTACCATTCTCACCATTAAGTATGAAAAAATATGATGTATCAACAGTAACAGTCCATTAGTCTGAGGGCCCACTACCCCAAAGACCTGACAGTCCAAAGATGTAAGTTGTTTTCTTAACACTAAAGATATTAAATTGATTGTTCAGTTAAATTTGTGAAATTTGATGATAAAAAACACCAGGATATGACCTAAAAGGTTGCAATTTCTCATGATGTTATTTTCTTGTATTTAAGTAAAGTGTTAACTGCAAAGCCCACATATTTATGCATCAGGATTGGATTTGGGCATTTGTCTTTTCTGAGAAAATGGACATGCAATTAGCTGTACAATACAATATCAATTCAAATATTTCTGTCAATTGTATTTAAAATGAGAGTAAGCCTTCAGAAGTGGCTGGTCCCCCAAACCCCCTGCCAAGATATACCCTTTAAACTTTTCATTTGAGATTGCATTAAACTATTATGGACCTATGAATTTGTTTATTCATTCAATTTTGGAACATACTGCAAAAACCAAAAAATCTGTGAGTATCAGGCTTTTGAAATACTGGATGGTCACCGTATCAACATTGTCAATTTTCTTAACAATCATAAACACCTAAATCAGAAAGCAAGTTCATAGATCTTAACCTATTCTCATATGACAACCTTTATATTGCAGGTATCATCCTAGTAGCCCTTCTCTGAACCCTTTTCAACACTTCAATGTTCTTTCTAAGGTAAGGAGCCCAAGACTGAAAACAGTATTCAAAATATGGCCTAACTAATCAACAAAAGCCCACCATCATTTGCCATTGTATTTGCAGGCAACTTAGTTTACAATATCTTCCATTGAGATAAGCTCTCTCTCAGGATTCTAACTTTCACAGTTTTCCCAACATCTTGGTTAAAGTAATCTCTCACAGTAAACATTCTGAGAGGGAACCATAAAGGTTGGATACTAAGTTCACACAATCCTCTAAGTTTTTACATAAAATAAGCTTGGGATGGGAACAGAAGGTATTCCTCATTATATTATGTCACTGTAGTTTCATGTGTAATAAATCTAGAAATAACTGAAAATGTGAAACAACTTGCTTAACTTATGCTTTTAATAATATAATAGCATTGGTACAGTACAGAATGTTACAAATCATACACATAGTGGAAACGCTTTTATGATAAGGTGAATTCACATAAACAATAAAAACTTGCTACATTATTATAGTATCTATCGACTCAGTTGATGACCTTCTTGAGAATTTTTGTTGCCAACTGCAGATCTTTTTTTTGCATCTTGTACATTCTTCTTATTGTTGTAACTGGTGTCACCAACAGGAGAATTTGGTCTTGTCCTACAATCAAGATGTCTGGATGCTGGTCCAGCAGGTTGTACAAAAACTTGACTGATCCTGACCTCAGAGTTGATCTTCAACAAGAGCCATTTACCATTGTATTTGGAGACAACATAGTTTGCAATATTTTCCATCAGGATAAACTCTCTACGAGGATTCTAAACTTTCATAGTTTTCCCATATCTTGGGCAAAATAACATCTCACAGTCAATTTTGAGAAGGATCCATCAACTGAACAGAAGGAATGGAACTGCTGTATCCCTGTTGTCATCACTGATTCATCGAGCTATGCTTCTAATATTTTCTCCTCACTGTTGACTTCATCTGTTGGGATGTATTCAAAATGAATGTTGAGAGAGCTTCCCTAGCCCATTTCAAAAGGGTTCTTTGGGTAAGGATTGCATCATTCGGCCTTTGAAACCATGTTTTTGTTGCAAGTTGTTTGGCAGTTCCACTTTTGCCATCTTAGCACTCTTTCTCATGTCTCATTGCAAAGAAATACCATTTTGTTTGCACTATGAAGTTTTGCTGGTGATATGCACGGTTAATGTATTTTGTGGTCCTTTTACTGCAAAGCAGAACCATCCAAGAAGTAAAACAAATATTTTATCTCAATCTTTGTTTTCAAATATGCAGAGAGCTTCTTCACAAATAAATGAACAGGTCAGGTAAGTTGAAATGACAACAATGCTGAAGCTTTTGATTTCTTGAGTGTGTCTGGACAAAGATAATGAGACAATGTGGCCTAGTAATTTATTCAGTGAAATCTTTGAGCTGCATCTTGCATAATAAGTGTATAGTATTCAGACAAATAAAAAATGATACATATTTTAGATATGTTTATTGTTCCTAAAATTAAAAAAGTGGTATGAAAAATGAAGAGGGGGGAATTGCCCTCCCCTGCCTACCCCCAAATGGCATGCTCAGAGGTAAAGTTATGCACTTAGCATCTTAGAGTAAGGGAATTTACAAATAACTTACTACATGAAAGGCTTAATGGAACCATGAAATGAAAAGGATTTAGGCATTATTATCATAAAAATTTGAAGATAGTGCCTATCCATTTAATGTTTTCTTAACCATATTATAAACCTTAAAATACTGTGAGTTAACCTCAGCAAGGTGTCTAGCTGTTTAATTCTGTGGTGAAGCTTTATTTGGGATACTGTGTTCAGTTTAGTACCTTTCATAAAAAAAAAGTACAGAGACAAGCAGCTTGAATAACTTGTGGTCTAGGAAAGTTAAGCTATAAAGAAAGACTTTTCACATTTAGGCGCAGATAGCCTTGTTGCTTTGCGCCATAAAGCACCAAACAACCAACAAAGACTTCTCACTCAATCTTGAATATTATACTTATAGGTAATATAGTAGGTTTAAACTTCAAGAATTACAAATTCAGATGCCAACTTCTTCTTTAGCAACATTATTTCTTGGTTATTTACAAACTTCTGAAATTGTTTACCAGTGATTTGACTGATAATGTATAGTGTACTGTTAGTGTTTTGTTGGATAAATGGGTGTTTCTAGTCAAACTATTTATATATATTTTTGGTCATCATACTTGTTTGTCGATTTATTGTGATACAAAATATAATAACTATAGAATTAGCGTTAGAGGTAAATGAAGACAAACTTTGGATGAAAATCAAGGTAGACCTTACACTTTCCGCGCCAGTCATCATGTAGTTATTTATGATTTTCTAATAACGTTAAACCATGTAAACATAAGAGCATGGGCATGGCCTCGGTAGGTAGCCCATAGACTGATGCGTTTCTAAAATATGGTGCATTTTTTCAAGCAGATACACAATAAGTTTACTTTTAAACATCTCTTTGTTTTGCTTTTAAAATACTTCTTACCTGTTTGTTTCGGACCAAAGTTCATGAGAATGGGAACTTCTATGCGATTGTTTCCTATTGCTAAACAATCTTGAAAGTAACGGCGGCGCCATGTTGTTGTATAAAGTAAGTAACAATCATGTGACTGTGTGACTAGACACTCGATCTCAGTCTTTTGGGAACTCCCGGAGATAATGATTGGCTAGGCTTGCAAGGCACGTCCAAATGTAGCGTCTAGACTTTCAGTTATATGAAGATGTAGGCGTATGTATTTAAAATAAGGTTTGTGACTCAGAGAAAGGGTGTAATTTGCGTGGTTCAAAACTTTATTTGAGAATTACAAGGAAAATTCACAAAGGAATACTTACATATAAATATATATTCAATTCAATGATAAGTTGTTGCTATTTTAAAGAGTATATTTTAAATACAACAATAAGTTATTTCCAAAACTTAAGTTTGGGTGTTTGAATAGCATTGTGAGAGTCGCAGGCGCAAATCCCGTCTTTGAACATTCTAACTCTTTCATTCGTGAGGGCATTATAATGTGACGGTCAATCTCAGTTTTCGCTAGTAAAGATTAACGCAAGAGTTGACGGTGGGTGATGTTTACTAGCTGCTTTTCCTGTATTATATTTATTCTAAATTAGGAACGGTTATTATAGATAACCCTCCAATAGCTTTGCGCGAAATTCAACAAAACAAAACAAAAAGGGTAAGAATTTGCATAATTTTTGTCTATTGTTGCTGAGTGTCCAGTGTGGATACTTAGCTACTGTGATGTATAGCTTTAATTAATTATTTTTTTGTAAATAATATTAAACAATAATATGATGTTGTTTTTTTATGTAAAAACCTTAAAATATTTCTTTCTTTTGTAATATATATATATATATATAAATGTTTTGAAATAAAACAATATAACTTAATAACAAGTAACTTGAAGAGTTTAGTTTTCATTTATACGTTCATTTGTGGTATTCTTATTAAAAGTTGGAGCCAACAATATTAAGTTTGAAGTACAAGAGGTATGGACAGAAAAGGTAAGACTCAAACATCTGTGCTGTGCCAAAAATAAAGTTTTTATTATACACACTTCAGTGATGAATTTAAGGGGTGGTTCTTGGGCCCAGAGACTACCTCCAAATTCCATATATGTTCATTCGGGACCCACTAATCAACAAAATCAAGAACTGAAAAATAACCGCACCGCCCTCGTGGACGTTTATGCACTGGCGGATGCAGGGGGGGGGGGCTAAAAGGGGCAATGCTACTCAAACGTAAGTACAAAAAAAATGTCATGATGATTTTAGCCCATCAACAGGCAGCTTGTTAGTAAGATTTCTTGCAATGTGAGGTATATTTTCGAACTCCGCTCTTGAAAATTTAACATTGAAAGTATACGAGTTGATTTTCGAATGATTTTTACACAGGTGACATAAAAGCGCAGAGCTTCCTGGGGCGTCGTCCCGGGATCCCCAACGGAGCCCTAAGGTGGGACCGTGAACCCCACGCAGTATATGCTCGCGTTGACGCCTTAGGCGCCAGCTTTTCATAACTTTATCCCCACCCCCAAACACTATCTCTGAATCTGCCACTGCGTTTATGTGTCTGTTTAGTAATTTAATTTAGCACTTAACAAATTCCTGATCGTAGCGAAAGTAACTTATTGCTTCGAAAAAGAAAATACGAATGGATTATTGGTACCACCCGAAAAATATTTCTGTATCCGCCGCTGCACTTAAGAATGGACACCATCCATGGTTTCATTACTGTGTCTGGCCTGTTTTAAGCTCAAGAGCAATTAATGTGTCTAATAAAGCTAAGGTCGAGGCAATTAACTTCTTCACAGTACCAGATATGGACAAAAAAAATTATCTTTTACTATTATCTTTCAAATCAGGACCATGTCCTAACGAAATATCAACATGCAATCCTAAATTACATAACTTACTGAACATTCCCGTTGTGTGTGTGTATGCACCCTTATGCTTTAATATGATGGACAACCAAAGGAAGAGATGATACAGATGCATGGTCAAATGAGTATGATTTCAATGAAATAGCCATTGTGGCATTTAACCAAATCTCGATGCAAGGATTAATTCAAATATATGACTATTTGTGCCATGTTCAAGAGAAAGTTAACTAAGTACAGCACAGCATGAAAAGAAGTCAAAGTATCCCTAAAATATATAAATGAAGATATTGTTACGTCTCCGTTTGTTAATTGATTTTTCCGTAACTTCGTTCCGACGAAATTTTAACGACA